TGCCCTCTGTCGCCTGCCCTGCCCCTGCCCCTGCCCTGCCCTCCCTGCTGCCCTGCCCTGCCCTGCCCTGCCCTGACATGCACCACTCAACATGCAACTTCAATTTTATAATTTGCTTGTGGGTTTAGGGTTCATGGTTTAGGGCTTTAGGGTTGTCGGGCTTATGGGTTTAGGATTTTGATTGGGGATTAGGGTTCAGGATTGTGTGCGTCCGGCGCTCTGCATGTAGGGGTTTGGGCCGTTCGTTCAGGGTTGTAGAGTTGATGGGTCTAGGGGGTGATTTTTACGGATTGGGGTTTGGGCCTGGGGTTGTGCGCGCCCGGCGCGAGAATCGGTTTAGGGCTTGGGCGTTTAGGTTTTGGGTTTCGGGTCCGCTTTGGCGTTGCAGGGTGTATGGGCAGAAATAGGGATTAGGGTTAGGGTTGCGGGCACATGCGGGCACCTGGCACATGCATGAGTTCAGGGTTCCAGTTGTTTAGGGTTTAGGGATTTAGGGTTTGGTTCTAGGGACTACGGGCGCGCCCGGCGCAGCCGAGCAGGAGGGCGAGAAGGGCGATGAGGCAGGGACCGATGCCACCATCGCGGGGGAGAGCGCCAGCGAAGACGCCAGCATGAAGGGGCCGGCCGAACAAGGCGCGACACCTGAGACTGCTAAGGTCACTTCTGTGGATGCTGCAGCCGCTAAGGAGCCAAAGGCCACCGGCAAGGAGGCCCTCAAGAGGGGCAGTGCTTCTTCGGGTCCTTCGGCAAAGCGGGTGCTCAACGTGCAGCGTGCCCTTCCTGAAGGGGCACGAGTCGTGCCGATTGAGAAGGATGGGAATTGCTTGTTTTGTGGCCTGGCCATGGGCATCAACAAGTTGCATCCCACGGGCCACCAGCTTACTGGAGCCGAGGTCCGAGCGAAGATTGCCATCCACCTTCACAAGAATGAAGCTCGGTACCAGAAGGAATGGGACAAGGAACTGCCCAACAGGACTCCTGCAAAGAGTTGGGAGGACTACGTGCAGGCGGTGGAGTGTGATGGTGTGTGGGGTGGACTCACAGAAGTGCGTGCAGCGTCCCGCATTTGGGACATTCGTTGCATCATATTTCCAACATGTGAGGCCATGGAACCGTTTCACGTTCACGGCCAGGCCAAACGGCGTGTGGTGGCTTTGCTCTTTTCTGGTTCTCACTTTGACCTGATAGAGGGTGACAATGGATCGCTCCCAAAAGCTTTGCTGAGCATCCGTGATGGCCCTGAAGCGGTACCGCTGCGCGGCGGGGGACATGCTGAACAGGATGGGGCCTCTGTGGCTTCTAAGTGGACGAGGACTTCAGCTTCTGCGTGGACGGCTTCTTCCCGGGCAAGGTCTTCTTCGGCGGCGACAGGCCGGGCGGCGGCTACGGCATCCAGGGCTTCTTCGACGGGGCGTTTGCGGGGATCTTCGGGGGCCCTGGCTAAGGCTACTTCCTCGGCGTCCAGGACTTCTTCGGCCGGTCGTTTGCAGGGATCTTCGGTGGCCTCGGCTGGGGCTACTTCCTCGGCTCTGCGGTGTGCGGCTTCGGTTGGGGCTCAGGGCTCTGTATGGACTGTGCCGGCTCTTCCACCGGATGAGGTGGGCCTTGAGGAGCCTGAAATCGTGCCGGTGGACAGGCTTGCTGCTTACCGCTCCCGGGGATCCTCGCGGCACCCTGGTCGCCAGCCTGACGGCACGTTTTTGGAGCGATGCCCTTTGTGCGCCGTTGTGCTCAGAGGGAACACAGCTGACCAGCTCAGCGACAACAGGTATAATCATTTCACCCGGTGGCACCCTGATGAGCCACGGAGCCATACACGCTGCTCTCCGGAGACTGTGTTTCAACGGCTTCCTTTGCGCGTCTCTGTTGACTGGAGGTGCCCGGTTTGCAAGCTTGCTGTGCCCGCTGGGATCAAGGAGAAGGTCTCGAAGGACAAATTTCGAGCTGGCCGCATTGCTCACTGCACTGCTCGGCACCCGGATGTTCCTTGGAAAGAGATTATGCGCATGGACAGGGCTCGCAGCAACCGTGAGCCCGCAAATGTTATGAAGCAGCGGGTCTGGATGCTCAACAGGGACCGGGCGAAGCGGGTCAGGGACTCTGATATCCCCCACTGTGTCCTCTTTACGTGGCCCCGCCTGAAGAGCAAGAAGCAGCAGCAGCCGCGACTCAGTCTCAAGACGGGCTGGCGATGCCGTGGATGTGTTCAATGCTTCCTCAATGCCAAGCTCGCTCGGGCTCACAAGTGCACGGGTGGTGCAGCCAAGGATCGCTTTATCAAGATTCGTGTCCGCTACCTTAAGCGCATCCGCAAGCAGGCTGATAAGCTCAAGCACGGCATCTCCTCGGATGTCCTGGAGAAGGTCTTTGCCAATGCGATGAAGATGGTGGGGGGTGAGCCGTTGCAGTCATGATTACTTTTTCCACGTTGAACATTGCACGTGCCGGTGCGGCCAAGGTGCACATGATCGCTGATCTTCTTCATGACGCTGATCATCATGTGGACGTGTTGGCCCTTCAGGAGCTGGATTTGCCAGCTCACTCCGCGGAGTACTTCGTGGAGACCCTCGCCAAGAGGAATGTGCATGTTTTTCTGGGTGGGCTGGATTGCAACATGTATAGATGTGCCATCGTGTCTACCATGTCAGGGACCTCGGTGTCTTTCGGCCAAGGCCGTCTTGCCGGGGCGATTTTCGAGCTCCTGTGCAATGGGAGTGTTTGCAAGTTCGTGGTGGCATCTTACTACGGATGCCAGTGGGATCCTACTGTCGCTTTGGACGGTGCCCAGCACGCTGTACAGGAACTCAGGAAGAGTGGTTGTGCTTGGATCCTTTTAGGTGACTTCAACTTGGAGGCGGTCGAGGAGCCGTTGGCCAGTGCGCTTGCCAGTGGGTTGGCGTGGTCATGGGATGATGGGTTTCTGGAGTCGGGGCTATTACCCGGCACGCGAGCATCTGGCCGCCGGCTGGACTTTGGGCTGGGATGTGGCAGGATCTTTCCTTGCTCTGTCACGCAGCGCTGGACCTTCTCGGATCACGCCCAGGTGTCGTACTGTGTGGACATGGCGGCTCCTGCACCCGGGTGGGGTGAACCGCACGGCAGCAATGAGCCTCAGCAACGGGCAAAGTGGGCCGCGCCAGCTCAACTTTCAGCTGCTCACGGCGCCGAATCCACGAAACGACATTGCCCTCAGACTCCTCCATTCTTGCCCGCCACGCCTTCAATGATGCAGCCTTCTGCTCAGCCTCCATGACGTCAATGTGCTCCGCCACGAAGTCGCCCCAGAGCTCCATCTCAAAGTAGGGCACCTCAGCCAACCACGAACATGAGGCGCCGAGCTCCACGAGCTGATGCGCCGCCTTGTCCCGCAATCGCGCATGCCACGGCTCGCGAGCCAGCTGCCGAAGTCGCCGAACCAACTTCCGAAGCCCAACGAGCACCACCGACTCCTTAGTGCAGCCAGCCTTGCTACGAGGATGCGCACGAAGACGAGGTCGCCACAGAGTAGATCGCCGACAGCCGCCCGAAGAACCGGGGACCCGAAGAACATCCTCGGCCGCGTCCGACAACAAAGACCAAACCCTGTCAACGTCCAGCCCGCACCGCCAACTGGAAGGCCGACTCGTCCCAGCGCATCGCCCAGGCCTCCTCAGGAACTTTTTCCCCACGTAGTGCAGCGAAAGACGGGCCACACCATCCAGGGGTTTGGGATTTGGGTTGGAAGTTTAGAGTTCAGGGCCCAGGGTGTGAGGGATTTAGGGCGGAAGGGTTTAGGGTTTTAGGGTTTAGGTCTACGCGCGCCGATCGGTTCAGGGTTGAAAGGTTTACCAGTCCAGGGTTTAGGATTAGGGTATTAGGGGCGCGTGCGGCGCACAGATCGGTTTAGGGTTTCAGGGATTAGGGTTCAGCGTGCATGTCAAGTAGTGCAAGTGGTATCCGAGGGGCATGGCATCATTTTGGTACAACAGCTGCACCTGTAGCAGCAACAGCACCGGCAGCACTATCAGCAGCAGCACCAGCCACCATCGCGACCATCACTTCATCCACCTCCATCTCGCCTGTTTGTCTCCGTCGCCCGCCAAGCTTCTGCTCGTGATCATGATCGTCGGAACAAACTCTTGTTTTGGATGGACCGTGGGATTTGTACGGGTACTGCTGCTAAAATACTGGTTGTGATAGAAAGACTGTCAACTATGTCACTTGCGGCAGCTATGACACGAATGAGAACAATCGCAGTCGTGAGAACAACGGAGCTCGTTGGTTCAACGAAACCAAAGGTACTGTAAGGGTCAACAATAAGGGCAGTGGTAGCAGTGATGATAGCGACCATCAGAACAGCTTCACAAGCCATTCGGATCTCACGGAAAGGTCCAGCATTGTTCCCCCATCAGATGTTGTTGCTATGAAGACGATGACGACAATCATGACCTCGATGGTTCACGATGCTGCCATGATGGGGATGACGATGACAAGGCGACAAGAGTGAGAACGATGATACTTATCACGATTATGGTGACGATGATGAGTGGCGATGCCGGTGATGACGTTGGTAGTGATGCGGAAGACGGTGATGGAGATGTTAATGCGGTGCACGCAGTGCTTTAGTGATATCATGACGATTTCGGTGGTGATGGCTGTGATGATTTTCGACCATGATGATGCTGTGGTAGCCGTATATAGATCAGCCACGGACCGCGAAGACGAGCCGCAAACCCGACCAAAACCCGACCTGATGGCTGAACCCCCCAAGATGTTCAATCCGATGAACAGGCAGGTTCTGTAAGACTTGGCTGTCCGATGCACCTACAATTGGAGGATGGAGAAGTTCTTGAGGAACCGAAGAATCGAAATTCTGCTTCTAACCCCCAAGCCCTGCCCAAGAGCCTTCAAGATTACGATTCTCACCACGTGCATGCATGGCTGCAGGGAGCCCCGACATGGGGATTACAAGTGGTCCCGCGAAAATGTTTCCTGGTGCCACTGTGCCGCTGTGCCTGCAGGCAAAGATGCCAAGAGCAAAGGAAGCAAGGGGGTGGGAGAAAAACCAGAGCTCCGAGCTCAGATCCAGCATCGTTTGATCACATGTGCAGAGGGTTGTGTCAGCGAGATCACCACCGTTACATCGCACGATTTAGACTACGCACATGTTATGCCTGCGGGTTTTGTGCAAGCGAAAACCGACCACGACCCAATCGCGCGGGTTCAAGTTCAAGCACGCGCGGTTTGTTTGTTTCTCGGATTTAGGGTTTGGGACTGTGTGTGGATCAAGGGTTGAAGGCCTGTGCGGTCGGGTTTACAGGTTAAGTTGGGTCGATTTTGTTTGTTTCGAGGATTCAGGGTCTTAAGGTTTGGCGTTTTGAACCTGGGATATAGGATTCTTTTGAGTCTAGGTTTCTGCTGCTGAGGTGTGCAGCTGCCATGCGGTGCAAGGTTGCGGGCTTTAGGGTTTCCGAATCAGTGGTTTGTGCTGTTTAGGTTAACTTTTTATAGTGTCAGGCTGTAGGGTAGTTTTGGTCGTGTCGTTAAGCCCAGGTTGCGGACTGTAAAGCTTCAAGGTTTCTAGGATTTGGGGTGTTTGTGGTGTAGCATTGTCATAGGTTCAGGAAGAGCGTGGGAGCACGAACTGATCCCTGCATGCGCGAACCCTGTGTCAATCGGCCTTATCCGTGCATGAGGCAGCGGTGTCCGGGCACTCGTGATTATTAAGTCTTGACTTAGACTTGCCTTCCCAGCCATAGCTTATGTCGCCTGTGTGTTTCATCAGTCGCAAGCCAGTTCTCGTGCACGGCAAGGCTAGACGGTACATGGCATCGGGAGTCCCGCTGGTTGATCACGTGCAGTCTTTGGGAACCTAGGAAGGCATCGTGTGAGCAGCGATTTGCTGAGTGGAAGGCCCGGCTCAAAGACAGAATCTGTAAAGCAATCAGCTCCTGTTCGGGCCAGTTGCATGCCAGGGCTGGGCTGGCAAAGGCGCGGGGCCACTAGGCCCCTGAGATCAAGAGGGTCTTCATGTTTCCACGCTGCAAGTACGAGGGTTGTGACGGTGCTCGACATGGCAGCAGCGTGAAATGAGATTCTCCGTGTCACGACGGGCAGGACTGGTGGCCTCGATGGCTGCTGGACTCGGACATGGAATCGGCGGAGACCCCAGAAGCGCTTGTGTGTGCCCTTGGCCTGCGCTATTTGGCCATGCAGGGGCGGCTGGTGGCTTTCCGCGGCACCCTCACCGGATTCACTGCATCTTTGCATTGGCTGAAGTGCGCAAACCAAGATTTCCTCCTCTTGGCAACGCCTGCGGATTTCCTTTTCCTGGCAATGACTTTTGCCGAATGGACGAGGGGCAGCAGGATGCGAGAAGCCGGTCATGCCATGTCATGCAATCATGCCTTCGAACGCGTCTGCCAGGACCTGCCTTGGATGGACCACATGCCCTGGGGTAAGGGCAAAGGGAAGAAGGGCTGGAGAAAAGCCAAAGGATGGAACCAAGAGGAGCACAGAACCGAAGAGCTCAGTGCCAGCACGGAGGACGAGTGCCGGACTCGACATGGCGATCAGATGTACCGCGTGTATGCATGCAGGTTAGCAGATGCTCAGTCGCTCAGATGGAATTAGGTTCGAGAAGAAGCTCGCCACCTTGCGCGAGCTGCGGCTCGGAAGTGACGAGGTTGCCCTGCTTCAAGGAATCAAGTCTTACATGATTTTACATGCTTGCTGAGACAGCTGTTGGACGTGGGAGGTGCTCCGGGAAGTCCTAGTTGCTTGTGACGGAGACGTCACACGCGTTGTCAGAATACTTGTACATGACTCCTGACAACCGGGTTCTTTGATCGCTAATGCACGCCTCGGCCATAAGAGTATGGCGGGAGAAGAGTCTGGCACTGCCTATGGCTGACAAAGTACTTACTGCATTCCTAGACATCTTTCAAGATGCAGGGCCTCTCAGCGCGGTAGTTGGCTGGTGCTGCAGAGTACAGTGATGCACCGGCTCTCCCTTCCATGGGATGGCCTATGGGATCCTGTGGAAGTTCAGTTGACGGGCTCAACTGGTGACACAGTCCTGCCTGGTTCTGTTCAAGACAGCAGGAGTGATGTGTAAACAAGCTCTGTGCATCTGGTGCTGTCGATGGCAATGCGTCACGGCATGGTGTGCCGTGCACTCACAGACGTGTTGCTTGAACCCGAGTGCCATGCTTTAGCGTGGATTCATGTGCAGGCCGCAAGCAGACTTGCCCCAACACAGTACTAGTCAACGACGCTCAAGGCATCGCAGTAGCCTCACCGCATCGTACCCGCAGAGCTTTTGGACCTTCAGCACCCACCGCACTTGATCTGGCGGTGCAGCTGCACTGATTTGATCTCTCGACAGCTAGAGTAACGGCTGACAATCTCCTTGCGTGACGGTTCTATTCCAGCCTTCCAGCTCCATAGTCGCAGTCATGGATGGGACGGACAAAGACTTGGGATGGGAGGTGCCAGTGCCGATGCATGCGCATCACATGCGCAAGGTTTTGGTGGACGTAGCAGGCTGAAGTAGCATGCGACTCAGGGGCGAATGAAGTGTAGGCCGTGAGCTCCACGTGCGTGGCACTTGTCAGTAATTCGGGAGTTGCAGGATGTTGGCGCTCGTGGAGGGGCACCGGGCGGAAACATGGCCGGTCGCTCCGGCTTGCCTGGAAGGGCGGAGGAGCTGCATCAAGTGATTTTGCGTCACTCGCCACTGCACTCCCAAAGCCCTCGAGAAGCGAAGGCGCCGAACATCTCTGATGCAGTCACCAGTGCCATGATGAACCAATTTGCCCGGGAATTGACATCCAGTTCCGAGCTCGGCATGGTTCATCGCTAGTCAGTGACAGTGAGTGCACCACCAGACTCACCAAACATAGTACAAAGTGCACCAGTGCATGCTTTCAGGTTCGCTAAGTCTTTGGCCGCAGTTCGTCCAGATAGCCCGGCGATACTTCAATGCTCGCGACCTGGACTGTGTGCAGTTCTAGATGTACAAAAATCATCGAGCTACTTCGGTGCGGACATGGCCGAGGTGCATCATGGATATGTACTTCGAAAGCTGCTCTGGCAGTTGATGCCGTTCCACAGGCCATTTGCTTCTGTGCTGGGTGATTACTGCGTTCTTCCGGTTGCCCACCAGCATCTTGCGCACGACCGTCGTCTGTCCACCTCCCTGCCTGGCTGCCTTTCACGTTTGTCTGCACATGTGTCAGAGCGAGTCCGCGTGTGCGTGAGGTTCAGCAGTATTCGGCATGATTCAGCGTTAATTGAAAGGCTGAACAACAAGTCGGACCAATCTGGTGGCACAGTAATTTACCCCGTAGTGCGTTTGACGCAGCCAAACTCATCTACCAGTGCGATCTCTATCTTAAACTTCCCTCAGATGTCAGCACTTTGTGCTCATGGAGTAGGATCATTCGCCTGGACTTGTTCCCATGGCTTCGCCTTTGCCGCGTCCTGCGGGAGCTGGAGAGCAAGCAGGCGCCTCTTCAGATTATGGCGATGCTTACGAGTTTACTAGGTGCACTCCCGCATGGTGTTGCAGGTGGATCGACCTCGAACTTTGCATTCCCACTTCCGGTGTCCATGCCGCAGCCGCCGCGACTTCCGGCAGCATATCCCTTGCACAATGCCTTCGTGCGCACCGCACTCCCGGCAGCATTACCCTGCCACAATCCCACAGCTGCCGTTCCCTTCGGCTCGTGCGTGCCGCAACCTATCCACGTCATGCGGGTGACACCAGCTCCAAACCGGCAAGTGGTTGTGTCGCAGAGAGTGACGTCAACTCGAAGGCACCACCGTCTGCAGGTCTGTGTCCCGGTATTGTGATGATTTCGTTGCTGCTCACGCAGAGAGAAAGAACGTTATCATCGAATGAGATGTGCAGGTGGCAATCTGGCGGCGTGTCCATGGCACAGTTCATTCCAGCGCTTGAGGCTGACTGTCGGAAGTGGTTGTGAACTGATCTTCTTCATCGTCTTAGAAGCGGCTAGGAATCTCGCCGGCGGCCGAGCGAGCGTGATCAGGCTTTGCGATGCCTTGGGGTTCGCGAGTTACAGCTCCTGGTAGTCTTGCACACTTCGAACATGTCAGCTTTTTCTGGTTTCTTTGTGCTGTGGTTGGCTTTCAGGCTTATGCAGCTTTCTTAGATGCCATCTTGTCATTGGGCCTTCTTCAGGACAACGTGCCGTAGGCAGGTGCCTGAGAACTATCACCAGCTTTCGGACGCGTTGCCAGGACATCCCGGTGGTGGAGGGCAGTCGAAGTCATCCTCTGGTCAGGCCGGATATTGAAGCAACTTGTTGTCGCGCTTCGCAAATCCTGCACAGCGTATGAACAGCTGTCAGGGTTGGTCTCCCGTTCTGTGGCGCCTTGTCCGAGGTGGATCATAGTTAGCAAAGATGTTCTGCAGGCTGTGCTTGAACGAGGCGCCTCGACTGCTGCCATTCTTGGCGACACACGTGAATGAGCAGGGATCTCGAAGTGCTGAAATCAGCTTCGTCGGCCTGGCAGTTCAGAGCAGGACGCCGTGCGGTCTGGAGATGCATGGCTACGATATAGATGACAGGCGCAAGCGAAACTCCGTGTTGCGACTTGACTCTACAATGTACAGTCTCTTCGCATCACGCTCCGTTGCAGTCCCTCTGCCTACTGGTGGCCAGCTTGGGAGGAGCTCAACTGATTTCAACACTTAGATGCAGCATCATGCAGCATCCGTGTAATGTTGGGACGCAGAGCTCGTGCCATGGTCTTTTAATCTCAATCACTTCGGTAATGCCGGGATGCAGGTTAGTTGGGACGGGCTCGGACGGCCTTCTTGATTGTGCCGAGTACTGCAGACCGCTTCGATAGAGGGGTGGGGGGGGTTGTTGTTCATGGATTTTGGGAACAACAACCCCCCCACCCCTGAGATGTAACCTGGGCGTGTATCCCCTCGCTAAAGCGTACAGGAAC